GGCACCTCAAATGGGGAAACCATGGTGGAAGGGTTAGACAACGCAAGAGATAAATAATGCCTAGATAGTTTAAAAAAAAGAACAGAGGGAACCATAGTAGTCCAACAACCTACTGACAAATTATACATACAACTAGATCAAAGAATAAAATATATGTCTAGGCAACGTTTATTTGAGGGCATTTGGTCTTTGTCCAAGCTTTATCGACATTTAGAAATTTTGAACTAATGTAAGTTACCATATAGGAATATGAGCTCAGGATCCCTTCATTTTCTAGTAGAAGGTTTTAAAGGGATTAAAACTTTTGGTGTTTTGAAAGTACAAAGTACTCTCTGTGTGCCTTTTGATTTATCTCCACAGGATTTTGTAGCATCTTGCCTCAGCGATCTGCCATGTATGGAAATTGGTTTATAATCTTATAAACAAAATGGAATTCCCTTCAGGTCTAAAATAAAAGCTTAGTGTGATTATCCCTGCCCTTAATCCCAGTTCTTGGGACGCAAAGGCAGGGGAATCTCTGTTAGATCAAGGCCAGCCTGGTCTTCATAATGAGTTCCAGGCCACCTAGGCCACAAGGAGACCCTGTCTCAAAAAAATAAAAATAACCCAAGAAAAAAAATGAGGTAAAAACAGGGTCCTCTTAAGGGTTCTTAGTCTCATTTATAAAGAAATTTGAGAGTAGACTCAAACAGAAGCTTTGAGACAATTTTATTAGAATTTAAGGGGAAAATTCTCAGGACACTAAACTGTAAATCTCAGCAGCTTCGGTGAGGGGGAGAATGGAGGGGAGAAGAAAAAAGCCATGTAGTCATGCTGGTTTAGAGCCTGCATGAATGTCAGACATGGTGGTTGTGCAACCACATGAAGAGGGGAAGGGAGCTTTAGAGAAAAGGTAAGAAGAACCCAGGCGTGGTGGCACATGCATTTAATTCTAACACTCTGGGAGGGAGAGGATCTCTGTGAGTTCCTGGCCAGCTGGGGTTACAGGGAGACCCGGTCTCAAACAGACCAAAAAAAAAAAAAAAGCCCAAAATGTTGGGGCAGCCCAGAGCATTATGAAAAGCATGTTTAAAAAAAGAGATATAAAGAAGAAAAGGAGAGGTTACGCTTTTCTGAAGAACTCTGAAAAGCGGGCACACATTTAGAGAAGCACTTGTGTAACCTGATCCAATCCCTAAGCAAAGCACTAGGGGAGAGATTCTGGGTAGGAAAAGTTTGCCAGCCCATTAATGCCCTAAGTATTCCACCCATCTCTTTAGCATAACTTAAGGTGAACCCACCTTCCTAGGGGTGGTCCTGTCACCAGGTGATCTGAAAAATGTTCAAGTTCCACCCAGACCAGAGATGTTACTGTCTTCACTAGTTTTAAGAAGTTTTTTGCTACTGTAACAAATGCACAGGTTTAGCATTGACAAGGAAGAATTTGAAATCTGCTCTTGACAAAATTTGGGCCAATCACTTAGCTATTCTTTGGACATATTTCTTTTGTGTAATGTGTGGCTAATTGATATTTACCAAGGTTCATGGTAAGTAAATACTCAATTGAAACAAGCAGGTTTTATGCTGTAATCTTGGCTCCAGATCTACGTATAATGTTAATAAAAAATTCACATCTTAATACTTATGTACCAAGTGTGTTTTGGAGCCAAAGCATGTAAACAGCATGTAGTTATATGCAGGCTATTGATTTTACTGTTATTGGTGTAAAACACACAGTGGTGTGTGCTTAATGTTAAGAGCTAGAATAGGGGCTAGAGAGATGGCTCAGCAGTTAAGAGCACTGGCTGTTCTTGCAGAAGACCAGCCTTTAATTCCCAGCACCCACATGACAGCTAACAACCAACCGTAACTTCAGTTCCAGGGAATCCAACACCCTCTTCTGACCTCCATGGGCATTGCATGACATGGGTGCACTTACTGGCATGCAGACAATACACTCATTCACATAAAATAAAAGTAATAAATAAAAGAGCTAGAATAGTATTTAGGAGTTCAAATCAGTATCAAGGTGAAATTCTGGGTTTTCCCATGGTGACCATCAAATACCAGGTTGTATTGTTCTTTGTTGTGCAAAGCAAAAAAATTCTTTCAAAAGAAATGGAATGCCTCTGTAGAGTGGCCATTGTGTTTAACACTGGGCTCCCTCCAAGGAGGACCTCACACATTCTTTTGCAGAAAGGATAGAAGTCTCTTGGTGAAAGCTGTCCATGCTGTGTATCTTTCGTTAAGAGTGAATCATGGTGCTTTTCCTGCTTCTTGGAACTCCACGAAACTTAAAGATTTCATTTGCACCTCCTTGAAGGGAAGTTAAGAAATAAACCACACCAGCCAGTGTGCATTTCAGATATTTACAACATGGTACCTTCTCTCTAGGCAGCACTCTAGCAAGAGCTCTCTGAAAATTAGTGTCAATATAGAATGGCCCTCCCTGCAGCCAGCAGTTTATTAAAGTCTGAGTCGTATTTTCCTCCATTGTCCCTCAAAACTCAGACCTCATCTCCTTTGATGCTCCTGCAAGAGATGAAAGAGAGGAAAGGAAGAGAAGAAAAAGCCAGGAAAAGGGGGAAGCTTCTAGAAAAATGATAGAAAGAAAAGGAAAGGGGAGTAAGAAAGCAGAGGGGCTAGAAAGAGGAAAATTTACCAGTGGCTCAGTAACTGAACCTCCAAAAGTAGCACACGGCACACTCTGAGTTTCAACTGACGTATAGCTTTATTAACAAGGGATAATGGTAACCATAGCTGCAAAAGCTCAACTCTCACCTCAAAGGAGGTAAGAGATAGTTTATTCTGGAGCCAAATATGAGTGCTGATGGTCTGAAAACACATTCTCAGGTCACCCCAAATTCCATGTTCCAACATGGTAACAGTTTCATGAAGTTTTTATTGTAATGATACAGAGGAGAAAAAGTGTCCCCCTAGAGCATTCTTAGTCTTAAATTTCATAAGAGAATTTAAGAATGGACTCAAACGGAAGATTTAGAACAATTTTATTAGAATTTAAAGAAGAATCCTCAGGGTAGGCAAGCTGAGAATCTTGGCAGCTGCCTTGAAGAGAATGGAGAGGAGAAGGAAAAAAATGAAGCTGTGCAGATTTAGAGCCTGCACGGAAGACAGACACAGGGTGGACTGACAGACACATGACTGGGAGAAGGAAGCTTTAGAGAAAATGTAAAGAAATACAAGATGCTAGGGGCAGCGAAATCATTAAAGAAAGCATGTTTAGAAAAGGGATATGAGGAAGAAAAGGAGAGATATTACAGACTTACAGAGAGCCACATGCTTGTGGCTGGGTCCAGAAGCACAGCTCTAGGAGGTGGGGGGATTCCAGGCAGGAAAAGTTCACCATCTCATTAATGCAGTAGATATTCTGCTCATCTAAGCATACTTAATGTGAACCCACCTTCTTAGGGGTGATCCCATGACCAAGTGATTAACCAATGACACTGGAAAGGTGGGTCTTCCAACAGACAGAGATTTTATTTTTTGACCAGTTAATCTTATGGGGCTTTTTTGCTACTCCAAGAATAACAAAACAAAGTCATAAATCAAGACACTTTTCAAATATATTGGTGAAAACACACTAAGTAAGCAGTTACAGCAAAAGAGAAATTTCAACTATAAGCCTCAGATCTTATCTGATGTCACTCAGCCTTTAGGTTGGTATAAGCTGGTTGTCTAAATTAATATGCTCCAAAAGGTTTTGAATCTGTTAGTCATAGGTTGTTAAGTTAGAAACAGAGGTGGGCAAGAAAGACAGTTCAAGATAAATGGTAGTTGGGCTCTGGACCTGCAGGATTCCAAACTCTCCACAATCACTGAAGTTCTAATCAGTTATCAGTTGATCAGCAAAGAGTTCAGTTTTAAGATGCAGTTTTTCAGGGAATTTTTCTTTCACACTCTTTAGCATTCTCTATGCAAGAATCATATGGTAAATACTAGTCTACAATAGTACCGAAGATCACCCAAGAAGAAATAAGCTCCCTTTGCAGTAGCAAAGAGTAGTAGACCAAAAGACAATTTATCAACTGAAATAGTTATTAAAAATTTAGGGAAAGGCTAATGGAAATGAGCTTTGGATTTCTTTCTTTCTTTCTTTCTTTTTCTGTCTGTCCTCTTTCTCTTTCTTTCTTTCTTTCTTTTTTTCCTTCCTTCCTTTTTTATCAGGCAATTTTTACCTTTCTGGAATGATAAGAAATGGCCCTTTTGAGGGGAGACTCCAGATATGTATGTTGCTTTCTGTGTCTTCAAATGGAAGGAAGGATACATTATAGGCAACAGTGAAAAACAGAGGTAGAAAGAAAAATCCAGTGAAAGCCTCTAGGTATGGGAGTTCACTCCAGCTCCTGCATCACCAAATTGATTTTGTTCTGGAGATGCACATGCTGGTGTGATCAGCACCAGATCCAGGAACTCAATGGTTAGGTTGAACTGGCTCAGCAAACTTACCTAAGTTACTCCATTTTGTTCAGAGCCATTTTAGCAGCAACTTTGCTCCACACCAAAAGGAAAATGGGAACTGCTGGGTCTCGGGAAATTGTTCTAGCCATGAACCATGGAATGTGCTAATTCCAACATTTTACATCTGGCTAACAGCTTGTTTTCACTTCTATAATCCGCTTGCTATTTTAGGTCACCTTGACACAGAGCATAAGACCACTCTGTTATCCTGTTATTATGTGACCACCTGGTAACTGCTGATTTAAGCTTTCTTACTGTACTTGTTATGGCTAGGAAGTTGGCTGCTATGTTGTACAAACCTGATTGGTTCAAAAATGTCCTGTTTGAATAATATTTCTGTAACCCTATAAAAACTCTGATCCAACAATCATCAGGGCTGCTTCTACTCCCGAGATAGACAGCCTGGCCAGTCAAAAATTAAAATTTACCTTGCTACTTTTCTTAAAATGGTACTGGTGATTTATTTATTTATTTTGTTTGTTTGTTTGCAAACTCCATCCTATAACAAGGTCACTGAGCTTGTCATTGTTCTTGAACCACAAGAATCACCATGGTACTCACCATGTCCATGATCATCACTGATGTGAGTGTCGCCATGCCCCGAGTGTCCTACATCAAGGCAGTGGACATCTACATGTAGGTCAGCTCCCTCTTTGTGCTTCTGTCAGTCATTGAGCATGCAGCAGTGAATTACCTCACTACAGTGGAAGAGTGGATGTGGTTAAAGAGGAGAGGGAAGGTACAGCCTTGCCTTCAGTATCAGACCCTTCCCTTTCCTTGGTTTCCTTTCCTGTTATTGTGATAAAATACTCTGACAAAAGCAACTTAAGGAAGAAGGATTTATTCTGATTCACAATCCTAGGGCACAGTCCATCATTGTGAGGAAGTCATGGCAGCAGGAACTTGAAGCAGATAGTTATATAGCATCCACAATCAGGAAGCAGAGAGCCATGAACACATGCTGCTACCCCTTTCTCCATTTGTACAGTCCCGGATCCCATCCAGGAAAAGGTGCTACCCACATCAAATTATGTAATTAAGATAATCCTCCACAGACATACTCAGAGGCCCATCTCCCAGGTAATTCTAGATTCTGTCAAGTTGACAATTAACACTAGCCATCACAGTGGCACAGAGTACCTCTTTAGTAACCCTTTCTTAACAGTTTTGAACACTTGCATTAAGTCCAATGCTTTAGCAAGATTCAAGGTTGCAGGATAGTGATAATATAATGTGGAACTTTGATCTCTGTTTCATACTAGCAGCTTTCCTCGGCATCATCATTCACCTCCACCAGGGGCTTTTGTGCATGGAAGAATTCCTTCAGCATGCACTTGTCCCTGACTCTGCCACAAGAAAAGAAGGGGGGTTGGGTACAAACCGGTGTTTTAAATGAATGATGATAATAATAGCTGGCATGTAACGAGCGTTCATTATATATTGACATTATGTGGTTTGATTCTAAGAGTAACCCCAAGAGACTAGTGCTTCCTCACCCTCATTTCACAGAGATATAAGTATAGGCCAGGCTACAGAGCTCATCAGGATTCACTCTTGAATCTTTGTGACTCCCAAAGGCTGTGCTCTCAAATAATAAATGATATGGTTTTTCTCCTTGTCACCCAGAAAGGTGTTAAAACAAAGTAAGGGGCTCATCTCATCATAACAGCCTGGCAATGAGGTGCCTTCTGTACTCTAAAAGTGATTGTGCTTTTTTTGACATTGCTTATTAAAGTGTCTTGGTTGCTCTTTACTGCTTCATTTCAAAAAGGATTACGCACCACTCTCCTGTTCTTGTGAAAACTAACAGGAGCTATTATACTTTGGAATCTGAATTCTATTTAAGAACTGATAGAATTCATTTGTTTGTTAGCCTACATTTAGGGAACAATGTGTGCTTACGTGTGTGTGTGTGTGTGTGTGTGTGTATGTGTATACACATACACATAATTTTAATAAAATATATTTACGTTGGTTAAGAGATTTTAATATGAGCTTTCATGCATACTCAGAACATTACTTAATATTTTTATATTTCTAATGAGAATGTTTCATGCTTTCAAAGTGTTTTTACATCATCTTCTGATGGAACTTCATATTAGTTCCACTGCATAGGTTTTGCAAAGACAATCATCACTGTTTTAAAAAATGAAGAAGCAAGATTTTAATGAAATAAAGTGATTTGCCAAAGGACTCATAGCCAAGTGAGTTGCTGCTGCAATTCAGGCCTCCAAGAATGCTAACTTCAGGCTTTTATGTCCTTCACATCAAAGCCCTATAGGAGCTGGTTTTATTTCTCCTGCTTCTATTTCTTTTGTAGACAGCATGTCACATACATATGTATCCCGAAGTGTGTGCATAAGGACACCTTGAGCTTTTAGACCAGCATGCCACAATGGTGCATGCACACCATCTGTGTTCTGTGGCACGTGACTCTGCAGGGCTGAGGTAAAACCTGCAACTCTGCATGGCTGACAAGGTCCAGGTGATACTAAAGCCACCAGTGCTTACCCACACCGCAGCTAGCAATGATTTAAAAAATATGTGACATGAAAGCTGACAGAACAAAATGAGAGGGAAAATGTTCTTGTTATGTTTTCTCTTCTTTTGGTGATTGGATAACCCAAAGAAGAGACACTGAAGTAAACAGATCACTCAGCTAGTTCTTTGACTGGAATGTGTGTCCTTGTTCTCACCTGTTTACTACACCTGATTTACTTTTTTTATTAATTAAATGGTTTAATTGACAATTTCACACATGTGTATAGTGCATACTAGCCACTCTCACGCCCACCCTCTCTCATCTCCCACCTCCCGTCTACCCACCTCTCCTCTTCCTACAAATCACTTTCTGACATTCATGTATACTCATTTTATTTTGTGATCCATTGAGTTTAACCAGGACCATTTACCTGTGTGGCCACGGTTTTGGAACTATCCATCAGTGCCTGGTGGGCTCAGCAGTGGATACACAACAGAAGATAGTAATTCCCCCTTTCCCAGAGTCTATCGATAGCTAACAGTTCAAGGGCAAGGAGCAGGCCACAATGAGCCCTTCTCCCATCCCTGACTGATTATTGACAGGGCCAGTCCTGTGCAGGCCCATTGTTGGTAACCTCAACTGTTGTGCGTTTATGATTACAATGGTTATGTTGTGTCTAGAAGATGGTTATCTCAGTCCTTCAGCCTATCTTTTGGTTTGCCTTGTCTTCCACAATATTCACTGAGCTTTAAAGGGGTGGTATAAATGTCTTGTTCAGGACTGAGCAATCAGCTATCACTTATTCTCAAAACCTTGGGTAATCATGAATCACTGTCATTCACTGCAAAGAGAGGCTTCTCTCCCTGAGCATAAACATTAATACTTAGAAAGCAGTGTGATATTATTTCAATGTAATTAAACAACATTAGTAAGTTCCTTCCTTGGGCCTATGACCTCCCTAGGCATGGGTTGTTAACTAGACTTCCAATACCAAGCATGGGTTTCCTCCCATGGAAGGGGCATGATAGCCAATCAATAGGTGGCTGGTTACCTCCACAAGTCATGATACTATTGTACAGGTGGACACATCTTGCCCAGCAGGTTGATTTTTGTGTTCATAGGGTTCACAGCTAGGTAAGACAGTTGATGCGCTTTTCTCCCTCAGCAGCCTGCATAGTATCTTCCAGCACTTTGAAAACTAGCCAGCAGGGTGAAAGCTTCTAGCTCAATTACAGCTTGCTTTCTCAATATCTTGCAGCTGAGGTTTGTCCTCTAGTTCTAGTGGACAACCAAGAAGGCTAACAAGAGCCTGTATAATTTTGAAGGCCTCTGTGGTCTCTGTGACCAACTCTTAGGGAGATATCCCACACTGTGGAATGGGATTGCTTTAATCCCAGTACTTGGGAAGCAAAGGCAGGCAGATCTCTGTGAGTTCAAACCCAACCTTGGCTACACAGTGAGACCCTGTCTCAATCACTCATTCACTCACTCACTCATTCATTCACCCAATAAAACGCCTTAGTGGCTGGAGAGGGAAATGTAAAGACCATTTCTAAATCTGTTTCTATTGTACAGTTGACTTAAAAATCTTTGAAAATAGTAGTTTATTGGTAAACTGTAGACTATAAACTTTAAACAATTACATAGATTATTCTAGATTGTCAATATGGAGAAAAATTTACATTCTTAGTTTTTAAGGTTTTTTTTGTTTTGTTTTGTTTTTTAATGAATTTGTGTGTGCCTGTGTGGGTGAATGCTAATTGAGGCAGGTGCCTGTAGAGGCCAGAAGAGGGCACTGAATCCTTTGGAGCTGGAGTTACAGGCAGTTGTAAGCTGTGGGTGCTGGGAATTGAACTCAGGTCCTCTGGAGGAGCAGTAAGCACTCTTAACTGCTGAACTATCTCTTCAGTCTCCTCATTCTTATTCTATAAAGATTAGCCTCCTTAAACATGCTGATGACATTTTGTTTAGATAAAAAGAGGACAATGGATGAGATGAATCAGTAGTCGTCTAGGTAGGCATGGAAATCACTGAGAAGCCTGTAGTACGTATATCCTCACATCTGTGGTTGAATATTATTGCCTATCTGAGGCTAATCAGACTTGTCTCCATTGCACCTTTATTTTGTCCATATTCAATATATTATGGAGACTTTCTATTGTTAAAACAAAAGGGACAATGTAATTCAAAAGCATTGGTTCCCACTGGTTAGTTCGCTGACTGAACAAAACAGTCTCCAGTCTTTTGAATTCAGTAAAATACTAGAGTTTTAAATTGCTGTGAACCAAATCCATGTTTTGATAGAATTTATTCTGCAGCCTCTAATTTGAATTCTGAATGTTTTCATCTAAAATAGCCTCTCAATGTTTGCTCATTTTCGACATCCCCAAAGATCAAGAAGGTGATTTTGTTTCCTCCAAAAGCAATTACTAACAGCCGCTTCCCAGACATTCTTCTGTACTAGCAAGTCACTATTGCTCCCAGAGTAAAACCTTAAAGAGCAATTTCAGTTTAGATTCAGTTAGACACTCAAGCTAAAAACCATTTTTGAGACAGGGTCTCCCTGTAGCCCCAGCTGTCCTGGAATTCACTATGTAGACCAGGCTGGCCTTGAACTCACAGAGATCCTCCTGCTTCTGCCTCCTGAGTGCTGGGAATAAAGGCGTGCGCCACCACTCCTGGTCAATTTTCTTTTTTTTTTTTATTTTTAAAAATGATTTATTTAATAACAACATACTTAGAAGAAGCATATCATTACAACACAATTGACATATTCAATAACGTTTTCCTGAGGTAGATGCATCTCTTTCAAATTTGGCTGAATTTAGGTTTACAGTTGAATTATTACAGTTATA